ACGGTCCGGCATATTAGATAGTACCAGGGTACGTTCCGATATATCGAACCGTACCCAGGGTACCCTCCGATAGTACCCTGGGGGACATAGACCGTATCAGCGGTACTAATGGTAAGATTGGTACTAACGGACCAAGTCTGTAGCTGAAGTTCTGCGTCAGTGATAATTTCATAACTCACAGAGAAGAAATATATAACTAAGATGTACCAAGCAAGAATAAAACCTATTTGAGAAATTGTGTTACTGCAAAAATAAAGATAATAAAAAAATTATACAGTGTAATACCAAATCTAATTCACGTCAGCTTATTATCAATAGTTTAACTTTAAGAAAATGAAACTGAGAAAAAGTCACCTAGTCATTAACTAGGGTTTGGGGACATGAAGGGGGAGGTTTTGAATATGAACACAGGAATACGAATACTAAATAGGTAATGTGAAATGGGTGAAATCCAACTATTATTATTTACACTCGTGTATTGTAAACAGGCACAAACGAGGGGAACCTCAGCTGTGTACATCGCCAATATCAACCTTTATTTTCTCATGAATAGGCATCTAAACCAAATGGGAATCATATTCCGTCACAGTTTATACATATTGCAAACTGATATAAAGCAGTTATGTTCACTGGCTTTCTCCTTGAACCAGTCATATAGGAAGATTCATCTAAACTAAAGATGAACCATAATCGTGCAAAATTTCAGTGGTATTAATGTGCAAATTAAATAATCCGCAGTCATAGTTCAGACAGTCCAACAATAGAACAGCTAATAGTAGAATGCCAAAGTACTTCTTTAAAGCCGCACTATGCGCATCCAAACGCTAATTTCTCCAGTACTAGACTAGCAAATACTTTGTGTCATGCATAATCACACTACCTTATGACAAAATAAACTCTAGTTCCTCCCATTTCACTGCGCGTTGTCTTATAAAAGGCATTTGAAAATACCTCAATCCAATATTGTTCAAATTCTCCGATGTTGTTGACACTTTCGCGTTGCTCTGCCAAGCAACCGTGGAGCGGTGCTGCGGTACAGCGGTACCGGTGTAGCAAAGATAAAAACGTGACGTCACCTAACCGATTCTTGGCGAAATTGTTGGGCAAACAATTTAGCATTGGCGCCAGATTACCAGATTTCGCACCTCTTTCTTGTGGGTTTTAAGCAAACGCGCACTGAAATGGGAGGAACTAGAGTTTATTTTGCCATAAGGTAGTGTGATTATGCATGACACGAAGTATTTGCTAGTCTAGTACTGGAGAAATTAACGTTTGGATGCGCATAGTGCGGCTTTAAAGATTTATCTAGCGATCTATAATACTAAAAAGTACTAAACAAAATTTGAGGATAACATAATGGAAAATTCCTATTCAAGCCATTAGGAATTTATATTCAATAAGTGAATCAGTGTAGCCAATAACTTTTCGTATGCAAACAGTAATGAAGCTTTTACACCGATATGATTTGTTCTAAAACACCTACAGTTAGTACACAGTGATATGTTAATCCCTTTATGTAAATGTGTATTGAGCAGATGAAAATAAATCTCAATAAATATGAACCAATTCATCGAATACAAAATACTGACATGACATTCTGTACACAGCACCAAATCCCACATGCACACCACTCTCGGATGGAGTCTGCTATATGTCTGCAGATGAGAAGAGACGTGAAATAGCTATGTCTGCTGCATTACATATATCAGCAGCTTGCTTCACTGCATCTAGTCCTTAGCAGGTCAGCTACTTCCAATTTAGGCAGATATAATACAATTCAAGTACCTCTACTTGGCACTGAGGAGCACTAACGAGAGAGGTCCATAGGAGCTATGAAAGTGCCACAAACTTATATACCATTCGTAATTCTATTTACCAGTTTACCACCAGTATCTCGTCGTTTACCCCAAATCAGATGAGATAGTGTTCACACTGGCCACCTGCACGACGATTCCAGACATATACACTAGATGGCACCACCGTGTGTCACTGGGTGCTTGGTCCAGAGTGGACGGGCAATGTTTCGACGCTGTACTCGTTCAACAGTAATGAGCTCATCATAGCTATGCATGGAATTATAATGAAGGAGCAACTCTTGCATAGCCTGCTCCTCGACCTGTCAAATACAAGTTGAAAGTGGTACAATTAAACAGTCTGTGAGAACTTGGGACACAGACAAGTACTCATGAGAATGACTATTTGGCATGTACACCCAGTGGATACAGTAAGACAAGGAATCATCAAAGAGAAATACTTTTTGCTATAAATACCAAGTATCTTTCATGTACACCTAGAAATTGATGGTATAGTAAAGTTCGAAAAAGTGCTACCAAGGTGCATACACATTCAATTTGAAGTACGCAACAGTTGATTGTTGCAATGGTGTACATAAACGATGATGCAATCTTATTTGAAAAACTAATGAAATTCATTGGTTTATTAAACTAATGCTGTTATGTTTCTTCATTTTCGGTCCCCTATCTGCACAACACAGCAATGGTACTGTATACTTCCACTTTTTTCCCATTTATTGTACACACACACACACGCATGCACACACATAATTAATATAGGAAGTTTAAGAATAAGTTTACCTGAATGGCAGTTAGAGGTTTTTTGGAAATTTTCGTCAGCTCTGCATGACTCTCTATCTCATCAAGAACAATTTCATTGAAGCTTGTTACAGGGACCGGCTTACTGCCTTGCTGTAACTCTCCTGCCCCACTCCATGGATTTGAAGTTGCTGGATCAGATGGCCTGGTGTTGCTTGTGGTAACGTCCCAGCTGCAGCATAGCAACAACTTATTACAGAAATTGACTTCATGTTGATAAAATATGCAATACACTGCTTCAAATAAATATATATTGAAAAGAGCTAGAAAGTTGATCCTACACTTATGTTTACTAGAAAATATCATGTATAAAAGGAGATATGTAGCCTATATGGACCTATTGTAGAACCAAACAAATTAGGAACTTGCTTTCAAAATCTCAATTGATATTGCTAAACATGCAATGTACTGTTTAATATTCTGTGTTACCGGCTTCAACAGTAAGCAAACAATTGAATATTCTACAAACATCAATGTCACAAGCAGTAAGTATAGCAAGGAGCAACAGCATGACTTATGGGCCTCTCCACATCATACCTTATCTTCCTTTCCACTGCCTTTCCAGGGGTGGACCTCTGCGTCAAACGAGTATGGTGTTTGGCAGGGGTCAGTGGTTGACTACACTTCTCCTCCTCTAACATCAGATCCCTGAAGGAGCTAACGACTTTTGTCAAACCACCAGTCCTGCATACAGAGCAAGATTCAAGAGATCATGCTACTTCGCATTAGTAACTGCATTAGTATTAGTAGGTGTATTACTATTGTAAACAGAACATTCCCAATGTTATGCATATGCTACAATGCACCCTACTTAAAATTATCACAACTATAAAATCGAATTACATTTTTAGCTCATCTGACATAGTCAGATGCAGCTTGTAGAATCGCATGATCGTCCGTCCGTCCGTCCTGCAGCTTGTAGAATCGCATGATCGTCCGTCCGTCCGTCCGGTCGTCCGTCCGTCCGTCCGTCCGTCCGTCCGTCAACAGTTGGGCACAAATCTTAACCGCTCGACGTACGGTCACGATATTCGGGTCGTTGGGGGGGATTGTCAAAACGAGTTGGGCTGTCGAAGCTGGGGGTCAAAGGTCAAAGGTCAAGAGGTGTAAAAAAAGGAGG